GTAGACGAGAGAATACTAAATAAAATGTGGAGAGTAGAGATGAAACTATAAATGTTACTGCGTTGAGGGCATGGGGTTCGAAGGAGAGTACTCGAGATGGGTGGACTTGTGCCCAGGTACTCTGACAGAGCAATGTCTTTGGGACTTTGGTGTGCTATGGAGACCAGAAAGATATCTCCCAGGTTTCCCTCCCCAGGGATCCACTGCCTCCCGGCCCTCAACACAAAATGCAAAAATTTAGGGTCATCTCTGAGTTACTTTTCTAATACCAGACTCACTTAACTTTATCTCCAATCCTTTCTCCTTCTACCCCCTCCCCCTTTTCTAAATTGCTTGCCTTCCAGTAAAACTTGTTCTTACTAAGGTGTCAGTGACTTAATGGCTTACCTCTCTCAGCACTTGTGCATTTTAAGAAAGCCTTTAAGTGGAGTGAAGGGAAGCTACTAACTCCCTTTCCCCCTTCCCAATCCTCACCCTCCCTCACTCTTACAGATGGGGAAATAAAAATGAAGGGCCAGAGAAGGTGGGTGCTACAATGAATAATGGTGGATGATGGGGGAGGGGGGGGGCAAAATCTCCAATAGGGTTTACTCTACTCCATGACCAGCATTTCTCCTTCCAGGGTTCCTGCTAGCACTGGGGACTGTTAAAAGGAAGTGTGTCTTGCATTGAATCTTTGTAGGACTGCCCCTCAACTCCAATGCCCAGGCCTTTACAGTCTGGAATGTATACTCTAGGTGGAAGAGAAGTAGTTGGGGTTAGCTGCTTAAATGGTAGGGTGTAGGCCTGGGACCTTTGGGTTACCATTGGTTCTCAACCTTCTGGCCCTTTAAATACAGTTCCTCATGTTGTGACCCAACCATAAAATTATTTTCGTTGCTACTTCATAACTGTAATGTTGCTACTGTTATGAATTGTAATGTAAATATCTGATATGCAGGATGGTCTTAGGCGACCACTGTGAAAGGGTCGTTCGACCGCCAAAGGGGTCGCGACCCACAGGTTGAGAACCGCTGGGTTAGGCAGTCCCGCAGGGTCATGCTCACTGTAAGCAGCTGGTGAGCCTAGAGTTGGCTTTGGGGATGGGTAGAGGGAGGAGAAGCTGAGCTGCTGAGCTGGTTACTATGGCTGGGACTGATTAGGACCCTTGGAGTGACATATTCTGGTGGCGAGGTCATCACTCTGGGGCAGAGTTCCAGCCGGTGGTTGGTGGGAAAGGAGGCTTGATTATGAAGGGCCTTAAAAATGCCAGGCTTGGGAGTTTGGATATGACTTGAAGTCATCATTTGAGAGTTTTGAGCTGGTTGGGACATGACTGAGAGGGGAGGTACTGGCACTGGGAAGCCTTCTGCTGCCCATTTCTAGAGAGAGGCAATAATTTGGCCTAAGAATATTATCATTGGGTGTTCACTCACTTACTGGACATATATTACTGAGAACCTATTATGTGCCATTGGTAAATATGAAGATTTTATAGCAAGTGCCTGTATTTTAGAAACAAATAAGTTGTATTTCATCAGTTCTAAGGTACATTTTTTTTTCAAATTTTAATATCGCTGAAATTTGGCTGTCTTATAATCACAGATGTGTCATAGTTGAGCAATTTTTTCATTCTAAGTTGATGATGGTACATCTTACAGTCAATGGTTTAGATTTGATAAAAGTTGTTAAGCATATCCTGTATGAATGTACAGTGTTTGGCACTTTATATAAAACACTTTCCCATCAGGTATTCCATTTGCATCTCAAAAATCCCCTGAGAACTGGGCCTGGTGACACTGTCATCTCCATGGTAACTCTAGCCCAAGGTCACACAGCTAATTAGAAATGTGCTCAAAATGACAACCCAGAACTTTGACTCTTGGTGTTAATGTGTGACTTTACCCTGCTGTGGAACTCACATGGATTATTGGGAGAACTGTGGAATAGTTGGATCAGATATGATTTCAGAACTATGGTTTCAAATGCTGGAATGATGATGAGTTTTTGGCCAAGGGCAGAGTGTAACTCACTGGGAAGGTGTAACTCACTGGAATGTACTGGGAAGCCCCTTTAGCCCTGAAATTTGTTGCATTTAATGTAAAATGGACAGAGGGATAGAAGGTGCCAGGTAACATGGTAAAACCAGAGGATGGAACACACGGCTATTTTTACATAAAGGAGATGAACAGTGCAGGAAGCACACAAGTTCAGGAGCCTACCCACTGCAAACCAGGAACTGCCTGGCCCTGGGAGTATAAAGATGAGGAGGACAGGATTTCTTGAAGACCACGGGTGTACATGCGCACGCGCATGCTGTTTTCCGGGTATGTTTTGGCTGCTCTGCACTGAGGAGGGTCCATTTAAGGGAAGCCAGCACAGAGGGAGTGGTGTCTGAAGAGTTGTCCAAGTGGAGGAAGGACAGGTAAGCCTCAATCTGTGAGGTGGATTGGGAACATTTATTCTTGAGGCTGTATTTTGAATGGCTAGCATGAAGTGGGCTGTGGGAATTGGAGAAAGCGGGGGACTTTTATTTTTTTCTAAGTAGATTTAACTTTACCTTGTAGGCTGTAGGGGCCCTTAACCGGCACTCTAGAGATTCACATGAGAACAAGCCTGGGCAGGACCTCTGAAACCATCTCTGGGAAGAGGTATTTGGATAGTAATGCAGGAAGCATAGTAACACATTTAAGTAATTGGTTGAGTGAACCTGAGACTTTGACCTTGGGCAGTAATTAGGAGTCTTAGCTCTGTGTGTGCATTGGTGGGTGGGGACTCTTCTTGGAACAAGGCTTGGAAAGCTGTGCCTTGCTGGAAGAAACTGAGGTGAGGAAGGGAAGGTAAAGTTTGCTGTATGGAGGAAGCTCCTATCCAGGTGGAAATCTGGGGCTTGAAGGTGTGTGTGAGACAGAGAACCTGAGGGTGAGAGGAAGGGAAGAGGGAATGGAAGTGTGTTGTGGGTTGTCTCTAGGTCACCTGGACGCGTGGAGGAAATGGCCAGTGCTTTCCTAATGAGAAAGGACACAGCTGTATCCTTGAGGCCTTCATCTCTTCTGACTTTCCACCAATAGGGTGAGTGGGTAGCCAGAGTGTCAATGGGATTCATGCTTGGAAGCATTTAAACCACAGAATTGAGGCTAGAAAATGTTAATCCTCCTATCGTTCTTTCCTAATCATAATAGTAATAAAAATATAACTTTGAAAATCTTTTGAGTGCTTGACATGTGCTTACGTAATTCTATTGCCGATTTATTAAAGTTGGTTTTATGATTTTAGTTTCATTTCGAAGATGAGATGATGAGTCTGGTTAAATAAGGTTACACCACTACTAAGTGAAATGGCCGTTTCCAACCTTTGCCTGATCTGTAGACTCGTCACCACTCTTTTATGTCTCCACAGAATGAAACATTCAAATCAACATTGATTTTCAGTGTTCTTCCTTGGAATTTAATTCAGTATACATCTATTGAGCTCTGGTGGGATCATAATCGAGGGTTTATGATCAAGGGTGAGCAGTCTTCTCAATTCCACATTAGTCCTCCACCATTCCCTCTCTTAAGATGCTACCTTTCCCTCTACCCTTTGAATGTATTCTCTCCCCAAACCTAACTGGAGACTCCTCTCCTCTCCTCTCCTCTCCTCTCCTCTCCGTTCTTCTGTAGTGACAAGGATTCTGTACCCCCCCCTTCAATTTTATTGAGATATAATTGACATACATCACTGTACTAGTATAAGTTTAAGGTGTATAGCATAATGGTTTGACTTACATATGTTGTGAAATGATTACCACTGTAAGTTTAGTTAGCATTCATCATCTCATATAGATACAAAATAAATAAAAAGCGAAAAAAGAAAAATTTTCTTTGTAATGAGAACTCTTGGGATTTACTCTAACTTTCATATATATCATAGAATTATTAACTATAGTACATAGTATTAACTATAGTACTTAGGTGATAAGGATTTGATGGAGTGTCTTGACCTCAGACATTGCCTATGACCTATATTTCCTTGGAAAATGCTAGATGTCCTCTGGAGTTGAGCCAAATAGCTCTTGTTGGATCCTGCCCTCCCTATGTCATGCTGACCTCTTCTTCCAAGAAAAGCAGGTTCAGGACTCAAATGCTTCCCTGTGGCCTACCTGCCTCAGGTGGGTCATTTGCATTTTAAAGATTCACAGATGCAGGTATTTTCTGGGGAGAGACCCCAAGAATGTCATCCAGCAAAGTTTACTTACTTGATTTTCTCATCTTTGAATCCTTATCCTTTCTGGTGCTCTGAAGATGTTTAGTATATTTTTGTGAAATAAATGAACTGAAACAGTGTAAGCATGAATCATCACTTGACCTTATATATTTGCTTGTTTTGGTCTCCACTCCACTTTAAAATAATTTTCATGCGGATCCCAAGGATACCTTTGTTAATGGTCATGTTCCCAGTACCCAGAAGAGTGCCTGGCACATGTTAGGCATTCTGGAAATATTTGTTAGGTGGAGAAAGGGATTGATTATGTTCTCTGCAAACATAAATGACAATGTTGGGGGAAGGAACTGTTTTTATTGACCCTAAAGTTTGGGCTTGTGGGCACAGGGCTCCACTGAGATTCACCTATGCCAGTGATGGCGAACCTTTTGAGCTTGGCATGTCAGCATTTTGAAAAACCCTAACTTAACTCTGGTGCTGTGTCACATATAGAAATTTTTTGATATTTGCAACCATAGTAAAACAAAGACTTATATTTTTGATATTTATTTTATATATTTAAATGCCATTTAACAAAGAAAAATCAACCAAAAAAATGAGTTCGTGTGTCACCTCTGACACGCATGTCATAGGTTCGCCATCACTGACCTATGCTATACCTGCCTGCCACAGATGGCATTGGGCAGTCCCACTGTCAGGGTCAAGGTTAGGAGTTCCGTGTTGGGTCTTTAAACTAGTTATCCTACGAGAAATTTCAATTGAAACTGCTCTTTCACTTTTCTCTCACACAGACAGGTGGTTCTGTTGTCTTTGAACATTCCTCTGTCTTCTTATCCATGCCTTTGCCTATGCTGTTTTCCAGTGCCCATAATCATATTATTTATCCAAACTATGTTGGAAAGCCATAGTTTCATATTCTTTCATCACCAGCCTAGTCTCTGTAGTTTCTGGCCTGTCCATTCTCTCTGCTTGTTGTAAACCTATGATCCATTAAATTCAAAGCCCAAACCCACTTCGTGCCATGAAGCCATTCCTGGACTTTCTGCCCCTTCTACCATTCATCTAGCTCAACCTCTTGTATTTATTTCCACACATGTGTACTGAGTGATCACCATATGCTAGTCAGAAATGCTGAATACTGGCTTACAAAGATAAGGGTCTGTTTTCAAGGGTTTTGATTCCAGCATAAGAGAGAGATTGAAATAGAACATGGTAAGGCCTTAATAGAGTGATGAAGAAAGGGCTAACGGGAGCACTAAGAATGGAGTGACCTGCATCTGGAAGGGTTTTGAAGAGAGAGTAGGAGTTCATATGGTGAATGGGGAGGAAGAGCATTCCAGGCATAGAGGCCTTGATATACATGCATAACCCTGAGGCCTAAGGGTGCTTGCAGAATAGAAGGGTGTGCTTGGAGATCATTGTGAAAGATGGCCCCGAGGATTAGATTATAAAGGCCGATCAGATAGCTAAGGATGATGGCAGGGGTTTAAGGAGGGCAGGAGGGCTATTGTTATTGTTACAGCAAAGGAGGGCCTTGCTGCCCCTGAGCTTCAGAGAGGTCTGGTGACAAAATGGTAGCAGGTTAAAACCCCAGGCAGGGTCCTGCTCAGAAGGCTGCTGAAATGTTCCAGGGCAGGAGATACTGGACTTGTATCAGCTCAGCAGAGCAGAGAGGGAAAAAGGGATTCTGGAAGCTGTTTGCTATTAGAATCATATTAGGCAGCTTAGCTCTTACTCTTGTCTTTCTAATTATTTGCTAGCTTATCAGCCTTGGCTGGGAAAACTGTTTTATGTGACCAAAGGTTGTAGGCAGTAGGAGAACCAGCAAGCTGGCAGCCAGTTTCTGCCTAAGAAGTGCAGGCTGGGTCGTGGTGGCCAGAGAGACCTGCTTCCTTATTGCAGTGGAGAGGAAACTGAGGCCCCAGGGAAAGGGACAGACTTGCTCTGTTACATCTTTGACAGCTGAGCTGGAGTTGGGCTGTGGCCAGCTCTCTTTCAAAGGTGTTTTTGATTCTGTTTCTGCTGATCCTGGCCTGACACATTCCTTCTCCACCCACCCCCACCCCAGGAGCTTTGCCTAGGAGAACTTGGGAGGGGATAAAACTTAAGACAGTGGTTCTCAACCTTCCTAATGCCGCGGCCCTTTAATACAGTTCCTCATGTTGTGGTGACCCCCAACCATAAAATTATTTTCGTTGCTACTTCATAACCATAATGTTGCTACTGTTATGAATCGTAATGTAAATATCTGATATGCAGGATGTATTTAGGTGACCCCTGTGAAAGGGTCGTTCTACCCCCAAAGGGGTCGCGACCCACACTTTGAGAACCACTGACTTAAGAGATCATTGTTACTAGGCTTGAACCTTGTGCTTTTGCACTTGGAAAATGAAGTGATTAAGATGGTTCAGTTTGAGTTTATGTGCGGTTTGGGAATCTGTTTCTTTTACTTCCATTTATGCCTGTGGCTTGCTTGCAAGAACCAAGCTTCTGATTCCTTGATAACTCCCAGGCTCCTTGCTTGTGACAGTCCCACTCCCACCCCTGGCACTTTCCTTTTTCTCCTTTTATTTCTAAGTATTTTTTTCTTGCCAGTATAGGACCCGATCCTCCTGTTTTTTTTTCCTTCCCTCTTAAACCTGCCCATCACAACCCATCTCACAGAACCCATTAGTATTTCATAGCCTTCATAGCACTTTTTATGTGGTGAATACATTTTACAATCGTTTTTTATTATCCAGTTCTCAGCTGCAATCCAGGAGATGTGTCAGCAGGATCAGTCTTGTCTCTGAGTGTGGGCAAGCATTCAGGGGAGAAGAAGCCTTCCCACAGGGTGCCTGGCCTGAAGTGGCAGAGGGAAAATCAGACGCGTGTCTCAAAAGCTCCTGTCCTGTGTCTTCATTTCTTTCATAAGTGAGCATGAGAAATGGATGTGAAAGTCCTCAGCAAGCCCCATACACAGGCAAAAACCATTGTTGTTATTTTACCTTATTGGGATTTTTAGGAGAACACATTTGGATATTAAGGGATTCCTCTCCTCAATGTTAACCTCCCTTTTCTTTTCTTTCTTTTTTTTTTTTAAATATATTTTATTGATTTTTTACAGAGAGGAAGGGAGAAGGATAGAGAGTTAGAAACATCGATGAGAGAGAAACATCGATCAGCTGCCTCCTGCATACTCCCTACTGGGTATGTGCCCGCAACCAAGGTACATGCCCTTGA